TCAGTCCTCTCTTTCTGTCTCTCTATACCAAACCAACAAATGTAATTTCACATTTTGTTTCTCCAGGTTATGGACACTCTGTCCAAGCTTTCACACACGACAGTTGCTCAGCAAGCAGGATTCAAGTAAGTTATCAAGTTTTCAGTAAATTGCTTCTAAGTGTTATTTCTAGGAAAAAAAGGTCATCTAACCATGTGAACTTTCCTTTCACTTATATCTTATCTCCTCCTCCTTCTCACCTTACCCACACTGCAGGCACATTTATAGCTATGTCTAATTTCCATCTTTAACAGCTAATGATTAAAAATGTTTCTATTTATACTTGACTGTGCAAACAGCAGTGGTATTAAATTAAAAGACAAGATATAATTGTTGAGTAAGTATACAAAATCAATATGTCAAAAACAGAAATGAAGCACAGGCTGCAAAGTAGTTAAGAATAGATACTGTTGATCTCAACGATCAGTTCAGCAGTTCTAACAACTGATCATTAATCATTTTTTAGTGTAAAATATATTTTAAACAATTGCAAGTCTTCCTCTTTTGAACAAAGTACGCTTGGTTTTATAAGTTTCCATCTTTTTCTATTAGACTGCTCTTGATATCTAAATACATGCTGATTTATCAAAAGTTATTTTCTTGTCCTAAGTTACTCAGCAGTGCTTTCCCCCCTGACTGGAGCATTTATTCTGTTAAATACTGAAGCTTATACTACTTTACTGTCACTTCCAGGCCATTTCCAACGGACGAGAGCCTACAAAACGAGGACATTTACAACAATCTGGAAGACATGATTGAGTATGTATGAAGCTTCTCTCTGTGGGCCCATTACTAGTGTTGATAGAACGTGATTATTTCACTCAGTAGCAGAACCAGCTCTGCTCGTCATCCATGCTCTCCTGGGGTCTGGACACCCACATGTTTTGTTAACTGGCTTGGCTCCGTTTCGATGTTACTGTCAGAGGAAATGAATGAGTAATTCTACATGTTTTTGCTGAGTGCTTGCACACCCACATCAGGGATCTGGATGGGTGCTGCTGACAATGTGATTGATCGACAGAGAAGAGTAATCACAGGTGTATAGAGCAATTTTTGCATTACGCTCGTAGCAAATAAGGCTTTTAATAATCTCCAAAATTTTCATTTCTGTGAATCATTCCTTTTGGAAATACATAATTCCTGAATGTTAAATGCAGTGATTGTTATTTAATGCTGAGTTACTCAACCGGTGTAACAAAGGTTACTTCTTGCATCTCTTGTGAATGCAAAAATTAACTGATAATCAGCAGATTTCAGTGGTGTTTATTTATTTTTTTGTGTATGTCATAGTGAGAATGTTCCTGAGGACGAAGATGACTTGTATGCAGCGGTCTATGGCCTAGAAGACGATTATGCTGGTGGCGAGATCTATGAAGACCTCATGAGAACGGAGCAGCTTCCCCCACTGGTACCACAATTAGTCAGCGCTCACACACACACACCTCTCAAACACCACACAAAACACTGAATACCTTTAACTCACATGTCGAATAGTTGGTGGGCGTTGTTGGAAACAAAATCCACAAAATCCTAATTACTAAAAGTTTAGTGCAGCTTCTTACCCGGTGCAGGATAATCCTCTAAAACTCAGCATTGCAACATCTTTACTGAGCAAGACTCATAATTTAAATAACTTCCACTTCCACAGTGTAAAAAAATGTTCCAGTCATATACTAATATATAATGAGTTAAGAGACATATATGTTATAGTAGTCTTACGCCCCTCTGCAGCCCCTAATCTCTATAGAGTCACGTAGAAAAATTTCATGGGATTGTAAGTCCTGTGAAAAAAAGTACTCACCTGCTAACCATAAGTACTAACCACAACCTAATTGTAACCCTGACACTGAAACCACATTTCGAACTCGTGAGGATGGGCATTTTGTCCCCATAAGTGACTGTGGGGCCCCACAGGTAAAGAAGCATGACAATTTTCTGTCCTCACAAAGATGTCTAAACATGTACACACACATGAATGACTAAATTACATTATAAAATAAGGTGAGATACCTTACTAGTCTGTTATTTAAATCCTACTACTTAGAATAAAGAATAGAATAAATCTAACTATTGAAACATTTTATATGGGTTATACTTGCAAATTGAAAAATCCTCCTAATTAATCCTAAAATTTAAAGCATATCAAAGGCAGATTCTTCCGATTTCTTGATAGTTTTAAAAGTATTTTAGTAAATTTTGGTTTGAAGGGGCCTAATTCTGTTCTCTTCATCTATTCACTTGCCACCTGCTGCACCTTACTCTCTGTTTTGTGGCTGTTAAAACATTGCTTTCCTGTCTGCAGATAGAAATAACAAAACGATTTTCTTTTCTTTTAAACATTCAAGCAACAGTTTCTAAGATATCTGTCTTTCTAGAAGCAAGCAGAGGTTGATATCCGAAGCTGCTGCCTTACAGAGATTAAACAGACAGAGGAGAAATACACGGAAACCCTCGAGTCAATTGAGAAGGTACTGAACTCTTGTTTTTCCTCTTTTGAACTAACAAATGATGGATTTACTGCATCATAATGCTAAATCTAATCTCAGTGACAGTAAATGCTGTAATTGTTATAATTTTATACAACACACGGAGCACAATATTGGGGTTTTTATGGGGAATTTTGGGGAAATCCCCAGTTGCCAATTCCCTAATTTGTTTGCTGTCAAACATCCTATGTGACGTGTGTAAATGGTTTCAGTATGAGTTATAAATTATTTACAAATTCACTTTCACGCTGTTTGTAGTTTCCAGCTGTACAGTAAATAAGTAAAATGGCCTAAGAAGAGGAGCTGAATTCAGTTTCATTTAGGTTTTCAATGCTTCTGTCTCCAGTATTTCCTGAACCCACTGAAGAAATTCTTCTCTACTTCTGAAATAGACAAAGTTTTTGTAAACATTCCAGTAAGTCACGCTAGTTCTCACTCTTGCCACACACAATTGAAAGATACACTTTTCTGTTCAGATACTGATGACTTCTTTCTCTGATGCAGGACTTGGTTAGACTTCACAAGAGCCTGATGGCTGAAGTGCAGGATTCCATCTTAAACAAAAATGCCTTAAATCTCTACCAGATTTTTATCAGCTACAAAGAGAGGTATGTGAGGAATTATGAACATGTTGCATGTAACAAAAAAGAAAAGTCTCAGTTATTTGAGTTGAACTTTCGCTTGTGGAAATATGCAACTACAGAAGTGCTGATTTTTGTAGTAATTTAATTTTCATTGATTGCTATCTGCAAAATTTATATTAAAGCTGTCAGTGTTGTGTAAAAATCATTCTTTAAGCCCACACATTTTAAGTCCTTAAACTTTGTACAGGTGTGTTTCAGGAAGGTTCAGATTAGAACTAAATATATATATGTATATACAGCTGTTTGAGAAATGATCCTTAACAACATGTGTGGCCCTCCGTGCACACCCAATGTCCCTTCCTGCTAGTCACCACTCATCATGACCTCATTTCCATTGAATTTTTATAGATTGCTCATTTATGGAATATACTGCAGTCGAGTGGAAATTGCCATTGCCGTTTTAGACCTCATTTGCAAAGAGAAGGAGGATGTCCGTCTGAAGCTGGAGGTGAGACATTAGAAGAAGCGGGCCTGTCTATAACATGCAATGACCACCGATATACAGATCAAGCTTTTAGTGACCTCTAGTGTATACTGTTTTCACTACACTTACACGTCTTTAGATAATGCATTATGCGCTTCCTTTGCTTCAGCTTTAACAACAATGATACTAGAATTTAAAATATATATGTTGTCATTCTTACTGCCAGTCAGAGTTACATCAACAGGACACTTAAAGTGAATGTATTTGATGCATTCTAGGTCGTACTGTTCAGTTACTACATTTTTGTTCCAGGAGTGCTCCAAAAGGGCCAACAATGGGAAGTTTACACTGAGGGACCTGCTGGTTGTCCCAATGCAGAGAGTCCTAAAGTATCATCTCCTTTTGCAGGTAGAGATGTTTGACTCACGCAGTAGCATAAAAATAACATGTGACAGAAAAGTCTTTGTGGCTTTGTTACTTTTTCTTTGGGTTAACAAGTATTTGGTATTATTTTAATATCTATGACTCACTTATCACTTTATATACATCTACATTTATACTGAGTAATTTCAGTGGAATAATTTATGTTTATGTGTAGCGAAAGATTAGTTGATTGATCCCAGAAAAGAAAGCAAAAATGTCAAATTGAAAAAAATAGGGTTGTTCCAATTTTATCATCATTTGCAAATATTTTAAATACTAAAGCATTCATCAACTGGTCATAAAAATAGTTGTCAGTTGCAACCCAGCTTCTTGCTGGGGTGCTTGCACGGTTACTTGTTGCTATGGGAGGAAGGAACATCCAGAATTTCCAGATGTTGTTTGGTTTTTCTATGTGTGCCCTAGAAAAATCCATAAAAAGTTTGATGTTTATTTAATACTAAAAATATTTTTTACATTTGGTGCAAGTTTTAATCACTTCAGAGTGAAAAGGGCTTTTGTCAACTTTATTTTAGTTGCTCCAACTACCTTGTAGCATGTCAGTGACCACTTGAGGGCGACATCCTCCACAAATTTGATTCATTGTTCTCTCCCTTTGATATCCCAGAAGATCCACACTCAAAAAAAGTCTAGGTTATTATTTAGTTCATTATGTTAGTGCATTTTGATATATTCTCCTTTTTCCTCCAAAATTAACTGAACCAAGATTGTTTTAAATCATTCTCAGAATTTATGTAGATTTGTTACACATTTTGTAGGACGGTTGTACATAAAGTATTCATTCACATACTGGATTTCAGACTTCAAGCTTGTTAGATTCCCACAGATTTCACTGCATACTGATTTACTGTATGACACCATCTCCCCAGCTCAGTATGAATCAGAGGTCAGACTACAGCTGGCAGGATAGATGAGGGCTTTGCCTAGAGAGCTTTTAAAAAAAATTGTTGTGGAAGGTAAAGCCCTCCATGGTGAATGGTGTTGATCCTGGGAGTTCTCAGACACCCCTGAGGAGAAACTGTGTGATGGAGGGACAAAAAAGAATGAAAGGGGAAAAGAAGTGGTGAGGTGGAAATTAAGTGAAAGAGGTTACAGCACAGTTAGGAAAGAGCATTGTGCCATACACGGCGCAGACACACCAGTTTGAACAATAGTTAATCTCTTATTGTGTAACGTTACCACAGAGCTAGTCACACCGAAAGTCATTCTACCACTTTTAATATTAAGCACATATAATATACATAATGCTGTAATAATGATTAAATCTTGCTAACGCAGTTTTTCTGCCACGAACATCAAACACACACAGCAAACAGAGTATCGGCGGCATGTATTTTTAACTAGCAGCATCTGTCTAGAATTAAAAATAAAATGTCAGCAGAAAATGAAGCACAATGCTAGCAAACACGTTTTCTGTTCAAGTACGTAGTCTTATTTGCTGTGGAAACAATTCACTGTGGTCTAGAATTGTTGCATGTTTTCTTTATTGCTTAACAGTTGTTTTGATGGTAATGAACCCAACGTCTTCCATGGGAGATTGTGGACAGGTTTCATCAACAGATTGATTCCCCTGTGCAGGTTGCGCTCACAACAGTAACTTCCATGTGATTAAAGAAATAGATGTTTCTGTGTGTGTGTGTGTGTGTGTGTGTGTGACATCCCTTTTTCTTCCTGCACTTTAACTGCTGACATTCAATAGTATTTGAATGTCAGCAGTGCCGTGTATTCATATGAGTTTTGTTTATTGCATCTAGGAAGAGAAAAACCATGCGTGTATTCATCTTTATACTTCAAGCTTGAAGAACAGAAGAACTTTAAAATTTAAAACTGTTTTATGAGTGAGTGCGAAGAGTTGTCTGTGTCTATGTGCTAGACTTGCGACCTGTGACAGACTTGTGACCTGTCCAGGGTGTACCCTGCCTCTCGCCCTAAGACAGCTGGGATAGGCTCCCCCTCCCCCGCGACACTGAAAGAGGACAAGTGGAAGCGAATGAATGGATGGATGGATGTACACTTTCAAATTTACCTATATAATGGATTTTATGAATATATTATGGAATTAATTATCTTTATCTTTACATTACTGATATTTATATAGTGTGCAAAAGTCTTGAGCCACTCCTCAAGTCTTTATATTTTCCTTCCTCATTTATCTTTGGACATTGGCTGCTTTTTCACTCATTTTGCATCCAGTCCTTGTACCTGACCATTTTAAAAATGTATTTATTTATTTTTCTTGGCCAACTCATCAGATGAGTCAATGTTGTGTCTACACATAACAGGCAACTTAGCAAAGAACCTATTTTAAACAGTGTATTTAGGCACTTTGTTACTTGCATCTTGTTGCAGAAGCACGCGATTTCTTGTCTCTGTAGGGTCCCAGACACCTTAACACCCACTCACATCCTGGGCCTTCTGACCTCAGGAAATCACATGATAGCATGGGGCTAGGTTTCACAATGAGTTCACCCGAAACCTTGGCTGATTGTGACCTACACCTGTTTTCACACCTTGGTTCGTGTGATTAGGTTAGAGGATCACTAGGGGTCCATTGTCCCTCTTGGGGGAACACTCCCACAGGGCTTAAGTCTGGGACTCTCCAAAATTTGACCTTAGAACTGAAGAAGCTTCTTGGAAGTCTAGACGCTTTTCTTTCCAAACGCCTTAGACCACATAATTTCTTCCCGAATTTCCCCAAAATGCCAAGGTTTAGGCATAAAAAGTATTTTCAGTCGTTGAAAAGTATCTGACAGTCAACAAAGACCTGACACGACACCTGAGAGATGCCGCTGACTCTTCAGTTCATCCATCTACTGCTCACTGAAGCCTCATCAAAAATGGTCTCGGTGGAAGAGTGTCTGTCACGGAAGGATTTTTGAGGATGTGAAACCGCACAAAAAAACTGAGATCAATTATGCGCCATACTGAAACTGGACTGACAGTAAGTGGCAGCAGGTCTTATTGAGTCACGAATCCAAAATTGGAAATTTTGGTTCAAATCTCCACTACAGAGGACGCTGGGACAGCAACAGTGAGTGTTTACAGGCATCTTTAAAACTTGGTGGAGGCAAATGCGATGGATGGTGTTGGGGTCTTGTCAAACTGATGAAAGTATAAACAGAGAAAAGTACCATCAGAATTTGCTCTCCTACGCAATACCATTTGAAAAGCATCTGATTGCCAACTGCAACAGCATAAAAATGATCCCAAACACACTACCAATGCAGTAAAAGCATACCTGGATTCGAAAACACACAAACATTGTCAGTTATAGGCTTCCTCAGAGCCCAAACCTCAACATTAGTGAAGCAGTGTGGACTCAACTTCATATACAATGGAACAAAAGGCAGCAGCAGCCGAAGCTTGCCCACAAGATTTTAGGCTGTGTTGAAAAATAAAGTTGATCTTACCAAATATAAAATTTCATGTTCATTAGAACTGTTTTGCTTTGTATACTTTCCATGAATATTTGCACATTTCAGCGAATCACTGCACTATCCCACTTTCCATGTAAAATATAAAGTAATGAGGAACGACTCAAGACATTTGCACAGTATTGTATTTCTAATTGTTCATTCTGAAAGATCATGGACGAGAATTAAACTTACTTCATTTGCTTCAAATGATATTTATACTTTGATAAATCCCATCACCAGCCTTTGCCGAGAAGCTTTTTTTTCATATACTTTGAAAATTAAACAAAGCAGAAGAAAGAAACCCTCCCTTTCTTTCTTCATTCATTTAATTTTGATTTCAGAGTATAATTATCTAATTACCTGATGCTATCCTGATGTTTTAACAGCTGTCCTCTGAATATGAAGGGACCCATTTGGTATAGGATGAATCTTGTCTTTCATACAATTTAAAAGTGATCCTTAATATAAAATCAATCCATGTAGTGATGCTAAATGTGCTTGCCTATGCAATTGTAGTTCTGTTAGTGGATGTAGTCTGCCACTTATTTTCTTTTCCTCTCTAACAGGAGCTAGTCAAACACACTCAGGATGCTGCTGACAAGAGCAACCTGAAGATCGCTCTTGATGCCATGAAAGTAAGTGCAGTGCTTATGGTAAATGGTACGTAATCATAGTGATTTTAGACTGTTAGCAAAAGCAGGCTGATTCAGCAGATTATTCCAAATGGTCTGTGCCATTCAACTATCAATACCTATTAAATAAAAATAGGAAGCAAACTCAAACACAGACACACACAACATGACATGATGGCTTTTCTGACTGAAGAAACAAACAAGAAAAAGAAACTACAATACAAACACGCATTTATCCATTTAAAGTAAAGGTGTGGAGAATATTGTCATTCACTTTGTCTCCCCATCTAATTCTCAGCACTGAAACATGCACATATTTTAAATGGGCGATTTCCCCAAAATGTAGCACAAAAGACATGATACTATCTTTACAACACGATTTGTTTTACATGTTTAAATTCCTTCAGACTGAACTTACAAAGCATAATATGTGTGTTTTTGTGTCTGTGTGGGTCTGTATTGTCAGGACCTGGCTCAGTACGTCAACGAGGTGAAGAGAGATAATGAGACTCTAAGGGAGATCGACCAGTACCAGAGGTCTATTGAAAACCTGGTAAAATAAAGATTTTTTTTCAACAATTAGCAGCAGCTGTTAGGATTGACCACATAAGAGTGTAAAATATCACTGCAACATGTTTTTTCTTTTAGAAGACATTCAGTTTTCGCAAGTGGTTAAAAAGTCCAGTCTTTGTCTAAATTTAATGTAGTCTAAGGGAATCCACCACGAAACAGAATTCAGCTCAAACATGCACAATGATAAAAGATGCCACTATATACGGCTAATAATAGAGGTAAAAAGTGTATTTTATGTATCTTTGAGGTCTTAAAAATCCCGCCTTAAACCATATCAGAGATTTAGAGAAAGCTAATACCATTTAGAGCTGCAGTGATGACTATCCACAGAAAATGTATTGGGTAATAGCTTACTAAATATTTCAGTCATTCTTCTTAGGTGCGAGATGTGAAGAACTTTTCTTTTTTTTTGTAGATTTTTCAACTGTGATTAAAAACAGAATCATAATAAATGTCTGATGGGATAATAAAACATTTTAGATAAGAATGATTTAAAAGTAATCTGCATAATTATGGATAATTAATGCAATTTAGCTGCATCCACTGAAATATATTTATATTATTGTTCAGCATTACCGCTGACATTAAAATGTAAATTATGTTTTTACATTTCTGAAGGTTTCAGTAGTTGAGAGAAGCTGGTCAAAGAAAAAACAGGGAGGTTACAGAGAGTCATGAAACCCAGCAGCAGAGACAAGAGAGCTTGTCAGATTACAAAGACCCTCATCCTTGTCTTGACCTGATTGCACATGAATCAACTTTAATCAGTGAATCAGGTGGCAGGAATCAACTGATCTAATCAATTGAATGTCCAAAAACCTACCTGATGTCTTATTGTGAATATTATGTGAAAATTTATTTGCAGAAGTTAATATTTTATGGGGATTTGATTCATATTAGTATACTTTTAGGTACTTTTATGAATATATATTGCATTCCTGAAGTAGCTGTTAGGTGTGATTAAAACCTTTTGCTTTCTCAAACTATCTTCATTTATTTTTCTCTTCTTTTTAACTCTTTAAATTCAACTTTCGCTTGGATTCCAGTTGGTAGGTCCCAGTTCTGCATCAAAATGTTGAATTAATCAGATATGATCCTTGTATGTTTTTCAAGCCTTGAGAAAGATGAACCTTGACATTTTAAGAGTTGCTTGATCTCCAAAGTGTATAGTCTAGTGTTTTTACCTTCTTCGTGTTTTGTTTGCAGAACACGCCGCTAGTCACCTACGGCCGGCCAAAGGGAGATGGAGAGGTGCGCATAGTCTCCAGTGTTGACAAGAAGAAACAGGACAGGTTGTTGTACCTCCAAGTTCATTGTTTGGGAAGGAAAATTAGGATTGCAGACAGGAAACACATGCATGTTAAATTAATTTTAATGAAATGGTTTTCAAATTTTCAGAAAAAT